CACAGCCTATACCAAAAATCTCTAAAAACCAAAAACAAACAAAAAGAATTTAAAAAGGAAAAATAAACAAGTAAAGTAAATTTTAGTAATATGTTTTAGGGGCAGCAGGTGGCAAGGTGTTTAAGGCCACTGGATCCCACATGGCCAACTGCCCAGTTCAAGTTTTGGGCCTGGTGGCTAGAAAACATGCCGGACGCATGCGTGTGGATGCTTAAAATCCCGAGAGGAGAATGGAGAAGAGACTGCAGTGTGGCTCTCCCTTCTGGGGGTAATTTCTCACATTTCCTCTCTCTGCATCTCTCTCCGTGTCTCTCTTGCACAAGCATATGTGCCCTAGAGCCAAAAGAAAAAAAAATTAAAAAGAAAAAATGTCTTTTTAAAAAAATTTTTTTAAAGAATTATTTATTAAATTATTTAAATTTGTTATTGTTATATTTTTCTTTATTTTATGAGAGCGAGAGAGAGAGAGAGAGAGAGAGAGAGAGAGAGAGAGAGAGAGAGAGAGAGAGAGAAAGGCAAAGAGAAAAAGCAAGCCACCAGGTCGAGGACTTGAACCATAGTTGGCCATGTGGGAATCCAGCGCCCTTATCTACCACACCACCTGCTGGCCCAGAAAGAAAAAATGTTTTATTTAACCTAATGTATCCAAAATATCCTCATTTTAACATGTAGTCTGTTTTTTCAATGACTGAGCTATTAGGTTGTCAGGAAAGTCCTACGTGTCTTTCTGTGCAAAAATGTGTCATGATTTTCCTGCCAACCTAGTCACTCATTTCTGTCTGTGTCTACCTGACATACACAGGTCATCCTGGCTCAGACCAGTCACATCTAAGTGCTCCTCCGCCACACGTGGCCTGTGGCTACCTCTCCGGGTTGCACAGGTCTAGAGGGAGCACCCGCGTATGGATAAGAATCCTGATTTTGCCGCTTACAGGCCAAGGTCCTTCACCTTGTTGAGCCTCAGTTCCCTCAGCTTGAAAATGGGGCTAATAAAGATGGGAACGTTGGGGCCAGTAGGTGGCATGATGGTTAGGGCACTGGACTCCCACGTGGCTAACTGTGGTTTGAGTCTGGGACCTGGTGGCTTGCTTTCTCATTTTCTCTCTGGTCAAATTTAAAAATAACAATAATAAATTTAATTTAATTTAAAAGGTTTTTTTTTTTTTTTAAGAGAAAAATTTTTGCTATAGGACATGTGCACTCACTGGAGAGACAGCAAGAAATCACATGCCGGTGGATGGCTATGCTACAATCCCTCCATTCTCCTCTCAGGATTTCAGGCACACACGTGCATATATACGTGCTCAGCCTGAGTTTTAAGCTGCCGGGTCTGGGACTTGAATTGCAGTCAACTACATGGGAGTCTAGTGATGTAATCATGACGCAATCTGCTGGGTCCCTAAATTTAAAAAGTCTTAAAAAAAAAAGATGTAACAGGGCCCAACATACAATAAGGGCTAGGCTGTTCTGGGCCTCAGTTTTCCCATCTGTCACATGAGGCCATCTCTACGGGCCCTTCCAGCTCTGCAAACAGGTCTTTACACAGAATTGCAGGCCTCCCCACCCTTCCCCAAGGAGAGGTCCCCCATCCCAACTCACCCTTTGTCTCTTAACACTCACCAAACACCTGGGCACGGGGGAATGCGGGGAACTCCTCCAGGCGGCGGAAGAGGTTGCGGTGGGTGTAGGCCAGGTCTCCATGCAGCTTGCGGAAGTCGCTGTACCGCTTCCAGACCACCACCTATGGCCAGTGAGCACATGAGATCCCCGGGGCCACCCATGGTGGGAAGCAGCCTTTGTACACCCAGTCTGCTCCAGGATGTGTGAAGATTAGGGTACAGCACCCCCTCCACCCAGGGCCAGGGAGGGCAGGCTGTGTGCCAGATCACCAGCTATTCATTCACTGTTTCTGGACCTGGATGGGGGAACGGTCCCCCTTCCTCCGGGGAGCCTCACCTCTTTGACATCTTCTGGGTCCTTCTTTGAGATGAACTGAGAAAGAAAGGCAAAAACCAGGTGAGACCAAAGACTGACATTTGATACCCATTACTCTGTAAAAACTGAGGGAGCCCCAGGTACCTCCCCTCCAAAGCCCCTGTGGCCACCAGCTTCAAGGAGTCCTGGCTTTCAGTGTCACTTTGGGCAATCTTTCTATTGTGTGCCTCAATTTCTTCATCTGTCAAACAGGAGGATCCATAATGGGCTGTCTAGACTGTTCCATCTACAGCCCAATTTTTATCCTAGTTCCTTCTAAGGGTCAAGTCCCTGGGCCGGCAAGTGGTGTGGAAGTTAATGTGCTAGATCCCACATGGCCAACTGTGCGGTTCAAGTCCTGGACACAGCTGGAAAGTCATCTGGAGGTCTGTGTGCATGCATGCCCCAAATCTCGAGACGGAGGAGAAGGGACTTTGATGTGACTGTCTCCCCTGGGGGGTGATTCCTCACTTTTCCTCTCTCTCTCTCTCTCTGGCAAACATGCATACCCTATAGCAAAAACTAAAAAAAAAAAAAAAAAAAAGGGAGGGGCAAGTTCTATGACTCCTTTGGAACTCAAATAACCTCAAGTTTCTAAAGAAACAGTTTTCTGTCCCAGGAGCCAGTGTTTCCTTAAGGAAGTCTGTGCCAACTAAGATTGGGAGTAGATCATGGCATGGAGACCCTGTTGGGGTGCCTTTCTTTCTTTTTTTTTTTAGAGAGATTTTTGCTATAGAGCATATGTGCTCGCCGGGAGACAGAAAGAGACAGAGAGACAGAAAGCAAGAAATCACCCCCCAGGGAGATGGACACGCCACAATCCCTTCTCCAATCTCCTCTCAGGATCTTGGGCACAGATGCACACACGCCCGGCATGAGTTTAAGACACTGGGTCCGGGACTCAAACCATGGTCGACTACGTGGGAATCCAGCAACATGGCCATTACACTAACTGCTGGTTCCAAAATTAAATAAATATTTAAAAAATTTTGTTTGCTATAGGATGTGTGTGCTCACCCAAGAGACAGAGAGTCAGACAGTGAGAAATCACCCTCTGAAGGGATGGCCACACCATAATCCCTTGTCTTCCATTCTCCTCTAGGAATTTTGGGCATGCATGCACATGCAGCTAGCGTGAGGTTTAAGCCGCCAGATCTAGGATTTGAACCGCAGTTGACTATGTGGAAGGAAGCTCAGTGACATAACCATTAAGCCATCTGCTGGTCCCTACAGTTAATTTTAATAATATGTTTTGGAGCCAGCTCGGTGCTCAAACTCCCCTGGACACAGCAGAAACTGTCACTGGGGCTGGAAACCCCCAAGAAAGGCAGATTTGGGTTTGAGGTTGAAAGAAGATTCAGTTGTCATTATTTTATGTTCAAAATAATTAAAAATAAATGTCCCATAGGGCCAGCAGATGGCATTATGGTTATATCACTGGACTTCCATGAAGTCAACTGCGGTTCAAGTCCCAGATCCAGTGGCTTAAAACTCACACCAGGTGCATGCATGCGTGCCCAAAATCCCGAGAGGAGAATGAAGGAGAAGGGAGTGCGGTGTGGCCATCCCCCTGGGGGTGATTTCTCGCTTTCTCTCCGTCTCTCTGGTGAGTGCACATGCCCTATAGCAAAAGTCTCTATAAATAAATAAGTGCCCCACAGTTTGGAGTATTTGACAGTTTTCAAATTTTCTTCTTTTTTAAAAAAGTTTTGCTATAAGGGTGTGTGCTGGTACAGGGTGGGTAAGGAGGGAAAGTGAAAAAACACCCCCCAAGGGGATGGTCATGCTGCAACCTGCAGGGTCCCCTAAGACAAACTCTCCCGAGCACCACTCCGTATCACTCCTGGCCTGCCCAGGAACCAAGGCTGACCTGCAGGGCTGGTCTCGGCTGGAGCCCACACTCCAGGTGCTCTGCTTGAAAGTCACACTGACCCAGGAGGTAGCAGATAAAGACCCAAAAGGAGTACTGAGAGGTCTAACTTCTGAGAGATGGATCAAAAAGACCCACCAAATGTTTCATGCATGCTCATCCCGCTAAGCCCAACTGCCCTGCTGTACCAGTCACACAGGCTCCCAGAATAGCCTGATTACCCTGTGAAAGGCGCTCCCTCCCTCCTGGGGGTGAGCTGAGGCACCTCCCGTGACCCCCAGCACTCTCAATAAACCTTCCTTATTTGTTTTCTTTTTTTTCTTTCTTTTTCTTTTTTTTTTAAATAATTATTTTATTTAACTTTATTTGTCTATTTATTTCAATTTGACCAGAGAAGGACAGAGTATGACACAGAGAGAGAGGTAAAGTGAGAAAACAAGCTGCCAGGTTGGGGACTAGAACTGCAGTCCACCATGTGGGAGTCCAGAGCCCTTAACCACCACGCCACCTGCTGACCCCTTCTTTCTTTTTTTATTTTTAAAGAAGTTTTTTGCCTTAGGGTGAATGTGCTTGCCTGAGAGAGAGAGACACAGTGAGAAATCACCCCCTCGAGGGATGGCCACACCACAATCCCTTCTCCATTCTCCTCTTGGAATATTGGGAATGCACACACAAGCACTCAGTGCGTTTCCAGCCAGCGGATCCAGGACTTGAACTGCAGTGGCTATGAGGGAGTCCAACACCTTAACCACTATACCACCAGCTGACTCCAAAATGCCTGTATCTTGATCTAAGTGGTGTTTGTACAAAAGAATGTGTGTTTGTGTGTGTGCATATAATTTGATACATGTGTACAGTTTGTTGAACTGTACATTTAAGATCTGTACATATTTACATAAATTATGTCTCATTTAAAAAAATTTAAGTGAAACAAAAAATGCAAAACAAAACATTTAAAAATACTAGCTGGACAGCAGATGGTATGGAGTTTAAGATGTTGGATCCTACCCAGCCAACTCCACGATTCGAGTCCCAGACCTGGCAGCTTGAAAATCATGCTGCTGGGACCAGCAGTTGGTGTAATGGCTATGTTGTTGGACTCCCATGTAGTGGACCACAGTTCCATAAACTCGCGCTGGCGCATGTGTGTGCATGCCCAGGATCCTGAGAGGAGAATGGAGGAAAAGGGGTTGTAGTGTGGCCATCCCTCCTGGGGGGTGATTTCTTGCTTTCTGTCTCTCTGTCTCTCTTTGTCTTTCTAGCGAGCACATGTGCCCTATAACAATAACAAAAATCAAAAAGAAAGAAAATCATGCTGGACATGTATATGTGCATGCCCAAAGTTCTGAGAGAATGGAGGAGAAGGGATTGAGGCATGGTCATCTCCCTGGGAGAGTGATTTCTAGCTTTTTGTCTCTCTAGTGAGTGCATGTACCCTATAGCAAAAATCTCTCAAAAAAAGAAAGAAAGGAAAAAAAAAATCAATGCTGGATGCATGTGCATGCCCCAAGTTCCGAAGGAAGACTGGAGGAGAAGGGATTGCAAAGTGGCCAATCCCTCTGGGGGATAATTTCTATTTCCCTATCTGTCTCTCTTGAGGGATTTCAAATGGCAAAAAAGAAAAAAAAAAAGCAAGTGAAAAAGCAAGATACAGACCACCATCATGTGTTAATAAAAGTAACAGTGTGGGGACCAGCAGATGGCATAATGGTTAAGTCACTGGACTCCCATGCAGTCAACCGCTGATCAAATTCTGGACCCACAGTGGTTTGAGTCCCAGACCTAGCAGCTTCCTTTCTTCCTTTCCTCTTTCACTCTCACTCTGTCCCCTCTCTGGTCAAATTAAAATAAACAAATGAATAAAGTTACATAAAATAATTATTTAAAAAACAAAACTCATGTCAGACGTGTGTGCGTGTGCGCGTGTGCCCAAAATCCCAAGAGAACAGAGAAGGGATTGCAGTGTGGCCATTCCCCCTGGGGGGTGACTTCTTGCTTTCTGTCTCTCTGTCTCTCCAGTAAGTACACACACCCTATAGCAAAAATCGCTTTTAAAAATAAAAATTATGCAATACATAAGAATAATGCGTGTTTAAAAAACCAACAGAATGATTTATAGCAAAAATTTACCGCCCCCGGGGCCAGCAGTTAGTGTAGTGGCTATGTCGCTGGACTCCCATGTAGTCGACTGCAGTTTGCGTCCTGGACCTGGTGGCTTAAAACTCACGCTGGGCACGTGTCCATGCGTGCCCAAGATCCCGAGAGCAGAACGGAGAAGGGATGGCAGCGTGGCCATCCCCCCTGGGGGTGATTTCTCGCTTTCTGTCTCTCTGTCTCTCTCTGTCTGTCTGGCAAGCGCATGCGCCCTATAGCAAAAACATCTCAAAAAAAAAAAAAAAGTACCGCCCCTTGCCACACCCTTTCACCTGTCAGCCCATCTTCCCTGGGATGATCTTTTCATTAGAATTTTTTAGGCATGCGAAAGACATAAAACACAGAGAGAGGCCTGGATGTTGACTCAGTAGTAAAATCAGACACTCTGCAGGGGAAACCAACAAGGAAAGGTTGCCAGTTCACCTCTGGAGACCTCCCTCAGCATGTCAAGCACGTGTTCCAATCATTTCGGGCTGGCTGTAGCTGGAGGTGGATCATGACAATGAGGCCTGCCTGTGGGGGTTGCTCTAGCTAGGTCTCTCCTTCTGGGTCATACAACACATTAAAAAAAAAAAAAAAAAGGCATATTTAAACATCTAAGATTCCAACTTAGACCACTTTGGAAGTGCCCTTGTTTCTGCTTCACTTTAATAGTTACTAATGCACCAGTCTAACACTTGCCTAGTTGATCATTTTTAATGTACAAAAAAAAGTTTTTTTTAATGTACAAAAAATTTACAGTAAAAAGTCTTTCTCCAACCTGTCCCCTAGCACCTAGTTTATCTCTTGTGGCCTCCATTGTTAACAGTTCTTGTGTCTCATCCTACAGATTTTTTTTTTTTTTGAGAGTTTTTTTGCTATACGGCACGTGCACTCCCCAGAAAGAGAGAGTCAGACAGAGAGACAGAAAGCGAGAAATCACCTCCCAGGGGGGATAGCCATGCTGCAACCCCTTTTTCTCCATTCTCCTCTCGGGATCTTGGGCGCACACACACCTGGCATGAGTTTAAGCCCCGGGTCCAGGACTCGAACCACGATTGACTACATGGGAGTCCAGCAACATAGCCATTACACCAACTGCTGGTCCCCCTACAGATATTTTTTAAAACTGCTTTTATTGGGGCCAGCAGGTGGTGTGGTAATTAAGGCACTGGACTCCAGCATGGGTAACTACCCTTCAAGTCCCAGACCAGGAGACTTGAAATTCATGCCAGGTGCATGTGTGCATGTGCTCAAAATCTCAAGAGAATAGAGAAGGGACAGTGGTGTGGCCATCCCTGCTGGGGGATGATTTTTCACCTTCTTTTTTTCCATTTCTCTCTGTCTCTCTGGTGAGTGCATGTGCCCTATAGCAAAAATCTCTCTCTCAAAAAAAAAAAAAATAAAATAATAAATTAATAAACAAATTGTTTTCACAGTTCCCGCCATATCTCTATGCAATGGGCTTATAACAGCCTGACTGCTTCATAATCAACTTTGGTCCTTATCTGTTGACTTCCAGCTACTACCCTGAAGTTGATAACTTGCTCCTTAAGTCCTTTTTTCTTTTTTGAATTACTTTATTTAACTTTATTTATTTTAATTTGACCAGAGAGGGACAGAATAAGAGAGACACAGAGAGAGAGAAAGTAAGAAAGTAAACTGCCAGGTCTGGGACTCGAACCGCAATCGACAATGTGGGAGTCCAGCGCCCTTAACTACCACGTCACCTGCCGGCCTCCCTTAAGTCCTTTAGAAACATATACATTTTTAAAACCGCAGTCTACATTTTTTTGGAAAAATTAAAAATAATTAAAACTCTCTAAAGGGCTTTTATGTAAATATAAAACGACCCAACAGACAAAACTTACTCCAGGATATTGGAGAACTAACTCGTATTTGGGGTAAGCCGAGTGTTCATGCAGATTTACAGAAATTCCCAGCCTAATGAACAGACAGCACGTGAGGCGCGTAGGCACACACCTTGAAGGTCCAGGAAACTACAGTTCACGCCCTTTTAAAAAGGACAGCACACTCCCTATGGTCCCGCCCCCTGATGGTTGAAGAACTAAATGACAACTTGTGCCGCAGCCTCCCCTTAAAGGGGAAATCCATTTCTGTCGTCCCAAACGAGCGTTTCTGCAGCGCCTTGCCTTTAGGTAGAGCACGGCCTCCCCTCCATTTAAAAGGGTAAGGTACCCACTGGGCCCCACCTCACCTGCGCTGTTACTTTGTACTCGGTGTAGCCCTTGGGGTGGGTCCTGGTGTCAGAGACTGTGTAGTGCCGCACGAAGTCATCCTTCGCCTGGCGGGACATGACAACCGAGCTGGAGCGGAGCTGACCGCCGGCCTCCACCTCCTCCACGCCGCCCCCGCCCCCGCCCCTCCGGGTCTGCCTCCGCCAGGCGCCGCCTAGCCCGGGCCTGCGCCCTTCTCCTTCCGGCCCAGGGAGCTGGTCGCAAGTGACAACACTATTGTTGCTCCCTGAGCACGGCTAAGGGACCGTCTAAAAGTTACCTGTCGTTGGTAAAACGTAAACGTAGGTAGCTGGGGAGTAAGAACCGGTTTGGGAAAGTCCTTACTCTCATCTCTGCCTGACTACCGAACCCATCCTATCTGAGCATACATAAAACCTCTAAACGCCTTCTGCCGTTTCCCAACTCCCCTTTTGCGTCCATCCACCCACTTTTTATTATTTCAAACATGTTCCAGATATAACAAATTATTTCCCTGTTTCCTTCCCAGGGATTCACTAATTCATGTGTCCTAGAAGCGTGGGGGAAATTCAAAGAATGCCAGAGAAAAGTGGGGGACGGGGATGTGTGTCAAGGGCTCTAAAGTCACAACTCTTGCTAGATGGATCAGTTTCCCTTACCTCGGTGAGCCCTCTTACTTTCTCCCCTCGAAAATGAATGTGTTTATGATAGAATCTATTGCAGCAGAGCTGTTTTGTTGTGGAGTTGGTGCCAGAACACAGGTGTAGTTAAAAGCCACCTCCAGAGGCCAGCAGGTGGCGTGGTGGTTAAAGTGCTGGAGTCCCACATGAAGGAGTGCAGTTCTATTCCTGGACTGGGTGGCTTGAAAATCATGAGAAAAAAAGTAAATAAATGAATGAATGAATGTTTAGAACAAACAAACAGCTCTAAATCAAAGCCAGGATGGAAAAGGAAAATATTTGTATCAACATTGTTGTCATAGGGCACTTATTCAATAGATTTGGGCAAGAACACCACTACTGGCCGTGCCATCTACAGTGTGGAGGGATCAACAAAAGAACCATGGGAAAATTTAAAGGAGGCTCTGAGATGGGAAAGGGCTCTTTCAAGGATGTCTCAAAACTGAATGTGGGCATGTCGGCAATGATTATATACCAACGAGATAACTACTGATATCTCCCTGAGGAAACTTTTTTTTTTTTTGGAGAGGTTTTTGCTATAGGGCGCGTGTGCTCACCAGAGAGAGACAGAGAGACAGAAAGCAAGAAACCACCCCCCGGGGGGGATGGTCACGCCGCAGTCCCTTCTCCATTCTCCTCTCGGGATCTTGAGCACGCACATACATGTGCCTGGGGTGAATTTAAGCCACTGGATCTGGAACTTGAACTGCAGTCGACTACATGGGCGTCCAGCGACATAGCCATTCCGCCATCTGCTGGTCCCTGTGGAAATTTGAGACTAAGTATTATGTGACCATCAAGATGCCCCAAGCCTGATCACAGGCACGTCTCAGGCCGACTGTTATTGCTGGTGATGGTGAATTTGAAGCTGGCATCTCCAAGGATTAGCAAGCCCTCCTGGCTCACACACTGAGTGTGAAACAACTAATTACTGGTGATAAAAATCGATTCCGCTGAGCCTCCCTGTGGAAAAGCGATAGGAGGAAATGTTAAGGAACTCAGCACCTGCATGGAGAGAATCAGCCCTAACCTCAGCCCAGCAGTATGTGTGCCCGTTTCTGATCAGAATGGTGACAGCTGAGCAAGCGCCAACATGCCTTGGTTCAAGGGATGGAAAGTCCCTGGGAAAGGCAGCAATGCCAGTGGAAACTTGCTGCTTGGAGCTCCAGATTGCATCCTGCTGCCGGCTCATCCAACGCTTGCCCTCCAGGACAACAAAGCGGTGGTACCAGTACTGCGCCTGGAGCCAGGTGGAGACTGGTGTTTTCTCTTTTGCTTTCAATCTTTCTTTTTTCTATTTTAGTTGTTTTTGTTTTGCTTTGTTTTGCCTTTGGGGGGGGCACATGCACTCCCCAGAGAGAGACAGAGAGAAAGAGAGGGAAAGTGAGAAATCAATCGGGGTGGGGGGGGAATGGCCATGCTGCTGTCCTCCATTCTGTTGGGATTTGGGACATGCACACACATGAGCCTGGTGTGGTTTTTTTTTTTTTTTTGGAGAGATTTTCACTGTAGGGCGCGTGCGCTCGCCAGACAGACAGAGAGAGAGAGAGAGACATAGAGACAGACAGCAAGAAATCACCCCCCAGGGGAGATGGTCATGCCGCAACCCCTTCTCCTCCATTCTCCTCTCGAGATCTTGGGCACGCACGCACACGCGCCCGGCGTGAGGTTTTTAAGCCACCGGGTCCAGGACACGAACCGCGGTCGACTACGTGGGAGCCCAGCGACATAGCCACTACGCTAACTGCTGGTTCCTGAGCCTGGTGTGTTTTTTAAGTCACTGGGTCCTGGGCTTAAACCACTCAGTCAGCCACACAGGATCCAGAGCCTTAACCTCCATGCCACCTGCTAGCCTGAGGCTGGTGTTTTCAAACTTGGCATGGTGGTGACCTTTGCTCCAGTGTTACACTGAAGTACAAATTGGCTCAAATGCGCCATTAAGTGGTGAGGCCTAAATACAATAGAGTGGGTGAAGCACTCATGCCGTAGACAAAAGAGCTGCCCATGGTACTGGAACTCAGGTGTGTGGGATTCAGATGGACGGATGCCATACCTCTGCAGTCTCCGGAAAACCAAGCAGACTCCCAAATCAGACTCTTGAGGGCTCTGAAATGGGTAATTCATTGAGAGTGTTTGGGAGGAGGCTGGGGATGGTGACGTGTCCCCTCACACAACACACCCCAGGACTCCTCTGGAGCCCCCTTTAAACGAGGCTCTCGTTTCCCATAGGTCCCTGGGGAGGGCCGGTGTGCCAATGCTTCTTCAATGCTCCTCACCCATCCTTCCCTCCCTCCCTGGCCCAGCATCCCGTCCTGTAGTCTCCCTTCCCCCCTCGTCCTCTCTGCCCTCTCCACGCCCTTTTCCCTCTGGAGTGATTTAGCCCCTGTTCTCCAGATCTCTAACCCCAGGGTAGAGGGGAAAGCTGCAGAGCCCAGTGCAGGAGCCTCCCGGTGTTCCACAGGGTCTGCGTGCCCATGCGGTGATTCTGCTGCATCCTCTCCATCCGCAGATCCGCAGTGAGTATGACCTGTCACTCTGGTCTCCAACCATCCCCAACTCGCCTGACACTCATGCAGTGCTCATGACACACAGGATGCCAACCCGTTTGCTCCTCATCCTGCCCATCAGCGGCAGATGCCATCAGCGTTCCTCTGATGGGGAAACTAAGGCAGCTTGTCAGGATCAACTAGCAAGGGACAGAGCCTCCCTGCAAGCCATAGGATCTACCCTGCATAGAGGACAGGGCGGGGGCTTCACTTCATTTATGCTCTAAGGTGACCCACCCAGCTTCTTCCGCCCTAATGGAACCCAGGTTTTTTCGTTTTAAAAAAATTACTTAATTTGGGAAACAGCACTTAGCGTAATGGCTATGTCACTGGACTCCCATGTAGTCGACCGCAGTTCGCGTACCGGACCCGGTGACTTAAAACTCACGCCGAGTGCGTGTGCGTGCGTGCGCGCTCAAGATCCCGAGAGAATGGAGGAGACGGGATTGTGGTGTGGCCATCCCCCAGGGGGATTTCTCGCTTTCTGTCTCTATGTCTCTCTCTGTCTGTCTGGCGAGTGCACGCACCCTATAGCAAAAACTTCTCCAAAAAAAAAAAAATTACTTAATTTTGGGGCCAGCAGGTTGCATGGTGGTTAAGGGCGCCGGATTCCCACATGGCAGACAACGGTTCAAGTCCCAGACCTGGTGGCTTTCCTTCTCTCTCTCTCTCTCTCTCTGTCTCCCTCTGGTCAAATTAAAACAATTCTTTTTTTAAAAAAAATTACACAATTTATTTATTATTAGCTAATTTACTACAGGGCACGTGCCCTCACCAGAGAGAGGGAGGGAGAGAGAGGAGCAAAAGTGAGCAAAAGCCACCAGGTCCAGGACATGAACTGTGGTCAGCCATACAGGAGTCCAGGGTCCTAACCCTGCCTCCGACTGGCCCCCTGGAACCCTAATTTTACACCTCTGGAAGGGATCCGAGTCCCAGCTTAGGAGTAAATCCTGGCATCTCTTCCTTGACTTTTGATACCAGCATCCAACGTCCCTCCCTCCACTGGTCACACCTGGTAGGCGTGTTAGGCCGTAAGCCCTCACCCCTGGGTAGGAGCCTCCAGCTGGGTCAGAGCAGAGACGAAAACTGGAGACGTTGGGCCTGAGCTATGAGAGGAGACTGCAGGATGCAGTGGCCAAGTCCTCTGGGTTCTAATCTCGGCTCCCCTACTTCCTGGCTGGGTGGCTTTGAGCAAGTCGCTTAGCCTCCTGGGTGCTGTTTCCCATCTGAAGGGACGACGACGCTAGTCTGTGCTCATGGGCTGTCCTCTGCTGCGCTACGTGGATGTGGATGTCACCTGGAACAGAACCCTGGAGAGGAGGCGGCCACTGCGAGGGCCTTGACAGGCTGCCCTGAAACAGCCATCAGTGTTGCCACTAGATTGAGGCCCTGGGTCGCCCTGCTTCAGAGTGAAGGCCTTGGCTACCTCTGCCTGATGCAGCCACTTCCCTCCCTCTCCCTGCACCCCTCCCACACTCACGTCCATGCCCCTCCCTATTTCCCAGGAGCCTTTGCTCTTCAGGCCTTGTGTGATTCCCTCAGTCACAGCATGTGCAGCCCTCCCTGTAGGCGTGCAGGTCATCCACTGGATACAGGTCCTGGCTGTGACAGCTAGCTAGGAGCTGAATTTCAGCCTGTTCCACTGGACAAGCTCTGAGTCCTGGGCTGGGGCTGCGTCCCTTTTCAAATTCACTCCTACAAGGGTTGCAGTTCCCCTGGTAACTGTCCTCCCTTTCCTCTCCCCAGGACACTTCTCATCCTTCACTCCCAGCTTTAATGTCACCTCCTCTGGGAAGCCTTCCTGGACCCTTCCAAATAGTGTTGGGGGCAGCAGGTGAGTGGTGGTGAAGGTGCTGGACTCCCACATGGCTGGCGTTGAGTCCTGGACTTGGTGGTTTAAGATCATGCTGGGGGTATGTGTATGCCCAAAATCCCAAGAGGAAAATGGAGAAGGGCATGGCCATCCCCCCAAGGGGGTGACTCTTCCTTTCCTTCTGTCTCTGTCTCTCTCTGGGGAGTACATGTGCCTATGGTAAAACCCTAAACCCATTTCTGTAACCCTTTGGATATCCCTTTGACACAGCAGCCGTTGACCCTGGACTAAAATGAACTGTCCCCTGCTGGACTGTGGGTTCCTAGGTGGTCTCTAAGACCATCACCAACAATAACCGAGCCGGGAGTCAGGGCAAGGAACGGTTTATTGTCACAGCTGGGCAAAGGGTGAGGCTCCCAGCCTCAGTAGCAGCCGAGGCAGGCCCTCCCCCCCGCAGCCGTTTTATTGTCACAGCGGGCAAAGGGGGGAGCCCCCCAGCCTCAGTAGCAGCAGAGGCAGCCCCTCCCCGCCCCAGCCCTCTGCCCATGATACGGCAGCTGCAGGCCAGGTTGGGGGCTGGGGGACAGCCAGGGCACAGCCCTCCGGCCACGGAGCAGCAGCGGGTAGCAGTAGCAGCGAGTGATGGAAGGGGTGGGGAGTGTTAGTCCAGCGGCTGACTCCCACCCCCGCTGGACAGCATCTAGTGAGGCCTGAGAGCCTGACTGCCAGGTGGGGCGGCATCTGGAGCGGCTCAGTCAGCTGGAAAGATGCGGCTGGAAATGTCGTCCAGGAGCCAGTCAATGCCCGGCAGCAGGTTCTCCCCAGTGACGGCGCTGCAGCCCTGGATGCACCAGTGGTGACTGCGGATGGAGTCCAGCTCCAGGGCCTGGGGGAGGGGGGCAGGAGGTGCCGATGGGGACAGTGGCCACAGACCCTGCGTGCCCTCAGCCTCTTTGCTTTCCTGGCCCAAGGAACTCCATACCTCCCTCGAGGCCCTGCTTAAGGGTCGCCCCAGGTGGGAAGTCTCCCCTGGCCTCTGGGGAGTGTCTGTCAGGCCCCAGGACCCCTGGGCTCTCTACAGCTCCACACCAGTGCTACCCCTCAGTGATGTCTTTGCAACATGGCCTCTTGGGTCTACAAGGACCCAGCCATTGTGCTATGGACCCACACGTCCTCTCATCCCTTCCTGCCACAGCTTCACGAGCAAGGGCTTGTGTTGGCTGTTGTACCAAAGAGGGAATCAAAGCTCAGCAAGGTTAAGTGACCTCTCCAAGGTCACACAGCTAGAACATGGCAGAACCAAGATTCTAACCCTGCTGTCTTATTCTGGTGCTTGAGTACTAGAAAAACAGTTCATGGGTCAGCAAATGGTGTGGTGGTGAAGGCAGCTGGATCCCACATGGCCAACTGCATGGTTCAAGTCCCAGACTTGGAGGTTTAAAAAACATCCTGGTCATGTGTATCCAAATCCCAAGAGAATGGAGGAAAAGAGATTACAGCATGTCCATTCCCCTTGGAAGGTTTCTCACTTTCCTTCTCTGTCTCTCTCCTGTGAGCACACGTACCATTTAAAAAAAAAAAAATGTAGGCTCCAGGGTCAAAGAGGCCTGGGTTTAAATCCTGACTTGCCTACTTACTGGCTGTGTTACTTTGGGCCAGTTTTCTAACCTCTTTGAGCCTGCTTTGCCATCTGTAAAATGGTAATAACAGTCCCTACCGCATGAGGTTGCTGTGAGTCAATCCATGTAGAGCATGCGCACAGGAAGCACCAGCTCCGGGACGGCCACTATGCTGTGGGATAATCTCCCTGCAGCTCTGCCTTCCCAGGCGGAGGGCCATCACGACACTTATTAATGACTGCACCTCCAGTGCCTCACGTAGCTCTTGCCATATAGCAGGGGGTAATAAATGCTTTTAAAATGAATTAATGAGGGGGCTGGCAGGTGGCATAGTGGTTAAGGGTGCTGGACTCTCACATGGCCAACCACAGTTTGAATCCCGGACTTGGCGGCTTACTTTCTCACTTTCTCTCTCTCTCTCTCT